CAACAACTAGGTTCCTCGCAAAACCCTCCTACCTTTGGGTTCCTCGCAGAACCCTTATACTTTTTTTTTTTTTTTTATACCTCTATAGATCTGCAGAAGCTGGGTTGTGGAACCCAGCAATTAGGTTCCTCACAAAACCCAGCAACCATCCATGCAATATACACGTTCTGGCGGTTCCGCCATTGTAGACAATGATTGGGTTTTGATTTCACCAATTTAGAAAGACTGAAGAGACAAAATTTGCAACAAACCCATAGCTAAAATCGGGAAAAAAAAAATCAAGCTTCATAATCATCATAATCAAAATAATCAAAATGTGTTTCTTGCTTCTTCAGCATCTTTATGGGAACAATCAAAGAATCAAGTTTTATCATCGTCCTTCGAGAGGCAAGGAGAGAAAGGTTTGAGTTTAGAAAGAAACATAATCAAGAAAAATTGCAAGAAATAAAAGCAAAACCTCAGAAGAAAAAAATTGAAACAGAATCAACTAATCACCGAATCAAAATCTATGGGAAAGAAAAGAACCCAGCTTGTGGGTTTGCCTTTTTATATCTGATTGGCAAAGCAAAGGTAAAAATTTATTTAACCTATTTTAGTAAATTCTTAATCTTTAAACAATTTATTTTTATACCTAACATTTAATTTAGTAGTTGATTTTGTTTAATTTATTAAATTTTATTTAACACTTAACACATTAATTAATATAATTACATTATTTATTAATATATTTAACTAATTTAAAACTTGATTCTATCTAAAAAAATATGTGAATATACATATGAAACTACATAGACATTTCGTATAAAGTTATCACAATTTTTTGTCAGTAGTTAACTTTTTAAATAAAGAGTGGACTCTTTTCAAATAAGAGTGGACTCTTTTCCAACAAGAGTCAACTCTCAATAAAGAGAGTCGACTATACACAGCACTCAAAACGCTCTCAACTCTCTGGAATTTGGGAGTCGAATATTCACCATATATAATCGACTCTTAAATGCTCGAGAGTCGAATTTTTGTTCCTAGCTTCGACTCTTTATTTAAAGGAATATATATAATGGCCTTGACAAACTACTAATTAAAATGATAATATCAACAACAAGGGATGTGTTGCTGATGTTTGGTTGGTAAAAAGATAAGAATAACAGCAATATAGTATATGTTGCTAATACTTTAGTTGTGGTTGGAAAAGTTTCAACAACATAACTCTTCTTGTTGAAAATCACTTTTAGCAACAAGAGATATCTTGCTGAAAGTGGAGCTCAATTAGATGGGGAAATGGTTATTAAAAAATATCAACAACATGGGGTATGTTGCTGAAAGTGGAGCTCAATTAGATGGGGAAATGGTTACCGGAAAATATCAACAACATGGGTTATGTTGCTGAAAGTGGAGCAACATTTTAGGAAAAAAATGTAGTATGCAACTTTCAGCAACATAAGCCTTGTTGCTAAAAATCACTTTCAACAACAACAACAACAAGGGATATCTTACTAAAAGTGGAGCTCAATTAGATGGGGAAATGGTTATTGGAAAATATCAACAACATGGGGTATGTTGCTGAAATTTACTTTCAGCAACATATTCCTTCTTGTTGAAAGTAGAACAACTTTTTAGTGAAAAAATGTATCATGCAACTTTCAACAACATAAGCCTTGTTGCTGATACAAATTTTCAGTAACAAAAGATTCCATGTTGTTGTTATATTGTTACTGAAAACTTGAATTTTAGTAGTGACCCTTAGAGTTGGTATACAACTCTACTATTAAAATCTTAAATTTATAATTTGTTCCTAAAATAATATTTTGATTCTCATAATTAAGTTTTAAAGAAATATCATTGTAAAAATCTTAAAATTATATAATAGAACTAGTCTTGATATTCTACTATTTTTAGATGTATGATTGAGAAATTTTAAATCTTGATTATAAATACTTTTAATCAATTTTAGTGATATTCATATTAAATTTTATTCACTTTTAATAGAATTTGAAAGATGAGACTGAATCATTTGGTATATTAAGAATTTTTTTTTTAACTTTTTAGAATTATTTGCACTATGTTTGAAATATGAGTCATCTTTTATTGTTTTTGGTGCCATTGATGATATAATCAAGAAGAATTTACAGATTTTTTCAATCTTTACAATTGTAAAAGAGTATAAGAATTTGTTTATAATTTGTGTTTTTTATTATATTTCCACTGATTTGGATGTTAATGTATTTTATAGTTATATTTTCTATTTTATGTTAAAATTTTTTACATTATGTAATACATTTAATAGTATTAAAAATTGATCAATTTGACCAAATCACTCTAATCTCATTTAAGTTTGATTGGTTTAGTTATCATATGATAATATATTTGATTGATTTAAAAATTTTACTAACTGGCCAACAACCTAAATAGTTTAGTGGTAATTTTCTTTCGTTGGAAATAAGAAGTTCTGAGTTCGAGTCACATAGCATGCAGGTGAAATAAGATAAGGGATTGGAGAGAGTTATCTCCTATTATACAATCAACATAAAAAAAAAAATACTAACTAATTAAATTAAATTAGCTTAAAAAAATTAAAATTTTAATCAAATCACATTACGAATGCCCCTTGGACTACATAATAAGGACATCAAACAACTTCCCTTCACCATCATCAGATCTCTCTACAGAAAATTCTTCTGATGGTAGCACCCTCCATTGGTCCGCTGGCCTCATCACCATTGCCTCTTCCAACTCTTCCTTTTCCACATATTCGGTGCATCTACCAGTACCACCACATTTATTACATTAAAACTAGGTTAAACATCAATTTTAATTCTTAAAATTTTAATTTTGAATTATTTTAGTTTTAAAATTGTTTTTGTATTTTTTTATCCTTAATTATAAAAAATACATTTTTTATAACTTTTTTGTTAGTTAATTCATTAAATTTATTTTTATATATATATGCATTTTTAGTTTCTAAATTTATAAGTTTAAGAATTAAAAATATATATATTATAAGTTAAAGGACTAAAATTATACAAATAAAGATAGATTCAATAGACTAATGAAATAAATAAATAAAATATAATTTTTATAATTTTAAGGTAAAAAAAATACAAAAAATAATCTATGAACTAAAAATATCCAAAATTAATAGTTTAGAAATTAAAATTTACATTTAACCTTAAAATTACATGGTCAAATCTAAACCTCACTCATGTCACCAAACAAATCCGCTATCATGGATCATAAATGTCTAAACCATTAACCAAAAGAAATACTCCCACTCTAACTCTAGTTTCTTAATGCCAACTATACTTAAATGTAATTTCTTTTAGGAAATACTAAATTACAGTCATACTACGAGTATGATGGATTAAGAAATTACTCAAATTAGATCCCAAAATAAAAAATAAAGTTTCTGGTTTCTAGACTAATTTTCCCCTAGTCAACCATATCCAAGTCAACCATGTATTGTGCATTGTGGATTGTAATGCAATGAAGCCCCACACGTCCAGTGCTCGTGCTTTTGTAGCGAGTATAGACAGCGTGTTCCACTCATTTCCTCCTTGGTCAAATAAATTCTTCCCATTGCCGGTGCCAGTAGCAGTACCTGGTACTTTATTTCCAATTTTGGTTTCAAATGGCCAAATGGTTTTCGCTGTGTTTAATCCAAGCACTTTGCTTTGGATTTATAGTTGCAGGCACGCCCAAGCTCAGCTCTGAAGAAGGTAGGCAGAATTTTGCATCTCTGCCCAATATTGCAATTTTTTGTGGGGAGTGTTGTTTTTTCATTTGATGATGAATTTCCAGTGAAGGTGCTGAGAGTGGTTGCGCGAAAACTGGGTAAGAAGGATTGGGATTTTGGGAAAGACCCTTGCAGCGGTGAAGGCAATTGGAAAGTATTGGATGAGATAATGGGTTTTGACAGTGTCGTCACCTGCAGCTGCTCTTTCAACCACAACACTTCTTGTCATGTAGTAAGCATGTACTTCTCTACCTTTTTGCTCTAATTCCTTCAATTCTTCATTTTCATTAACTTCGGCATGGTTTCTGGGTTTAAATTCATAACTTGAAGAGATGACCTTTGTTTCAATAATTGAATGGGAAAGCACTTGGTTTGGCTCTTTGCCGGCCATGGTTAATTACTGGGACTTTCTAGGCTCCATCTAAAGGTCAAGAGCATGTTACTTCTAAGGCTAAATATAATTTTTCATCTACTAACTATTACTTTCTTTTCATTTTAGTCTAGAAAGTATAGTTTCTTTCAAAATCATCTATAAACTTTGAAAATCATTTCATATTCATTTATCTAATTAACTTCAGTTAGTTTCTTTAATGGAATCCCATGACATGTTTATGTGGCACCACTAGTTTTGAAAAATTGTATTTAACCCCAAAAGCTTCACAAAATTTTCAATTAAATTTTATATTTAAACCATTCCACAATACAATTTACTTAACTAAGTCCTTAAATGGACTAAATTATAATCAATCGAAACTAATGATAAATAATTAAGATTTTTAGCTTAATTTGTTAATTAATTAAGATTATAATATTATTTTTATCAAATTAAAATTAAAAAAATATATCTTTTACATGTAAAAATTTTTTAAATGTATTTTCTCTATCTTAAAATAATAAACATTTTTGAGTTTATCTTTAAATTAAGGATTTAGAAATAATTTCTATTATTACATATTTTATCCTTAAAAAAGAAATAAAAATAAAAAACTTTTTAAAGAATAATGATAAATAGGACTAAAATTTGGGACTAAAATCTGAGACTAAAATTTAGTTTATATCACGTTATTTAAAATATTAAGAAGTGGATTATATATTATTTAATGATTGATTATTTTTAGAACCTGTGATATTGTATATATTAATTAATTTAATAATATAATTTATATCATGTCATTAGTCTTAAATTTTTGTCCTTCCTATCATTATTCTTTCATGATAAGAAAGATTATTAAAATTAAGATATAATTATAAAGTTAAAGTAGAAATAAAAAATTTATTTCTTTTAAAATATTAAAAAATCACTATCATTTTAAGATAAATTCTAAATAAAAATATGCTTATTGTTTTGGGATTTAGGGAATACATTCTAACTTTGCTCCATTTATCCCAAAATAATTATCATTCTATAATTTCAAATTTGTTTCAAATTAATTATTTTTTTATTTTTTAACGTAAACAAATATTTTTTTTTACTTTAACCTTATTATTATTTATTTACTTTAATTAATCATCCTATCACAAAATGTTTAACTTCATCTTTTATTTCCTTTTAATGGTAATATAAGTAAAAATAAATTATTCTTAAATTTTTTATTTGAAAAAAAATAAGAAAAAAACAAAAGTTATTTTGAGAAAGAGATAATACAAATAAAAATTAATTTTTTGAACTAAATAAAAAAAAAGAAATGATATAATTTTATCCTAATAATGACAATAATGATTTTTTTAATTGTTAATCAATATTAAAACATATAAATTTATTACAAAATTAAAAATTAAAAAATTTTAAAAAAAAATCTCACTAAGAAAGTCAAAATATTATTAAGATGAATTTAAAAAAAAAAGTATAATTTTTCAAAATTGCATAAGCCACGTTATTGGTGTCATATAAGCTTATCATCCGATTCCGTGAAAAGAAAAAAAACTAATGGAAGTTAATTAGATAGATGAATTTGAAATGATTTTCAAAATTTAAAGATGATTTTGAAAAAAATTAAACTTTCTAAACTAAAATGAAAAGCAAGTGATAGTTACTAGATGAAAAATTAAATTTAAACTTCCTTCTAATTTAATTACTACTCCCCTCGGCGGGTTATTGTGGCAACCTAAATACAGATACTTATTAATATATTTTCTAATATAAATTTTCAGATAAATGCTTATTATATTTTTATATTATATTTTTTTCTCATAATTTTATTTTTTTATTTTAAATAAATTTAAAAAATATAATAATCAATTACGATAAAAAATGTGATATTAATATTTAAAAGTATGATAATAATATCATTTACTCCCTCTATAACAAAATATCTTTTATTAACTATAAGTAATTCTTCTATATAGCACTATAAGTAATTTTTTATAGAGCATTATAAGTAATATTTTTTATATTGTTTATGAACAATAATTAAAAATAATTTTTACTCAAATAAAACTACTAAAATAAAATGACCAAGTATTTAAATAAAAAAATTTTCTATTATCATTCATATATTATATACAAATATTATTTCAAAGGATAATTATATATAAATAATTTTTTATATAATTTATATATTATTAAATAAATATATATAATATAACATATTTTAATAAAATAAAATAATCAATCATTAAATATAATATATAAAATTATATAAAAATTTATATAAAATAATTATCTCTTAAAATGTCATGGGAGTTAATTATAACAATAGGTAATTTGAGATTGAAGAAAGTTATGCTTTTAATATACGATTCTATTGCTTCCTTTAACGTACCCAATAAGTCCACCGAGTGAAGTGATGTTTTGACCACTAAACAAGGATAAATAGCATTTATTGGTTCCTGTTCTTTTTAGAAGCCAACATATTAGTTCCAAGACTTTAAGTCATTGCCAAGTCCGTCTTAGAGTTTCTTGATTTGCAAATCGTTCTTGGGATTATTCCAGGTAAGGATGGTTTTAAGAAGACAAAGACTATTTAGAGGAGGTTTCAAAAATATTTCCACAGGAGTCCTGAAATATTAATTTGTCCCACATTTGTACTTTATGATTCCAATTTTACCCTTAATTTCAAATTAATCACGTCAGTTAGCTGTTCTTCTCTCTACTCTTGCTTTTATGATTTTTATCTCAAACTCTCTCATATTCAGCAAGCTCCTCTTATAAGGATTGATTAATTAAATGAAATTACAACCTTGACTAAACTGTAAGTTGATTTTTTTTTTTTTTTTAATTTCCCAGTAAGAACAGCCCTATCATGTTTTATCCCAGAGTCTCGATTTTCATCCAGCAGGCTACTGAGTTTTATTAAGAACAACAAATAACTAGACTACAACACAGCCCACGATAGATCAAACGATTCAAGCCGGAGATAATGAAAACCTTTAGATCTGGCGAGATTATGCTGAAAGATGAAGGGAAACATGGGATGGGTTGGAAGATAGCCAAATAAATGAACTATTTCCTCTCCAGTCCATTTTCCTTTCATTCCCCCTCAATACAAATTAATATACTGTAAAAGTCACACTTGCTTTTGAGCACATTCCTCTCCTAAAAATTTGATAAATTATTTGAGAAAAATTTTGAATATAGCATTTTTATTGGCTTAAAAACAAGTTTGAGAAAGTTGAGACAAACATGCTTAACCAATTCCTCGCCCCTCCATTCCCTCAACCCAAACATAATGTAAAATTAAGTTGGCTTAAAAGCTACACCAAACGGCCTCCTCGTGAAACTCTGCGGTACTATTATGTACCCAATTTCAATAATAGGACATTGTTGGCATATGGGATGGTGACAACAATTTTATTGGCACGACAAAACGTTGGAAGACATTCAAAACTATAAATAATCTTGGCCGCTGTATTTAAATCATGAATTTGAGGAAATTTAGAAGGATGTTAAATTGGGTTTTCTAATTTGCTTTGTTTTTGTTGCAGATCTCTAAAAGCACAGAATTTATCAGGAATCCTACCTCCAGAGCTTTCGAAGCTTCACCACCTGAAACATCTGTAAGCAGCCCCATTTGTTACCTTAGATTGAACTCATTACTATCTCAATGTCATTCACAAATATCTCATTATATATCCTATTGTGCTCCTGTCCTCCATTTTTTTCAATTTTTGCATGGCTTCTTGTCCTACAGGGACCTTAGCCGTAATTGCCTGACTGGTACTATTCCTCCAGAATGGTCTACAATGCGGTTGGTGGAGCTGTAAGCATCATACTGTACCTTATTTGCTTTGTAATCTTACAGTCATGTGACCATGCCGATATCAGCTTAGGAGAAGTGATCTTTATCAGTTTTATGTTGTTCTGGAGCTAACCTTACAATTTCTTTTTGCTTTTGTTGATTAAAATTTTTGGCAGCTCTTTGATGGGGAATCTTTTGTCTGGTCCATTCCCAAAAGTTCTGACCAATATCATTACACTTACAAACCTGTATGCTGGACTTAGTTTTTTGTTTTCATTAGTAAAAATACATTCTTTTTTTGGTTTTTATTTTTCAGGATAGACGCTTTACTTGTTTATGATTCCTTTATTTAAATTAAATACTAATACCTTGCAGGAGTATCGAAGGAACCAGGTTTTCTGGCCCCATTATTTCAGATATTGGAAGGCTGACCCATTTGAAAAAACTGTAATTCTTTCTCACCTTTTTGATTCTCATCAGCATTTGAAATTGGACCATACAAATATTTAGATTACCTTATTAATAGTACTCTTATCATTTGTCATCAGTCATCTGGATTCCAGTTCTTTCACTGGAAAATTGCCAGCGGAATTAGGCAAGTTGTCCAACTTGATTGACATGTAAGTTGACTGTCCACTCTTACTACTGAAATTTTAGGTGACTGCTTTATATATTAGAGGTAATTAGTTTGTGAAAGCAAAAAATTTTAATTGCTGATCTGAGTATGTCTATACCTCATTCAATTTTTAGCATGAAATGGCAAATCCACGGTTATTTTCTCACCATCTTCTGCTTGTGAACCTGCACTTTTCTGCCTCTGAACTGTTTATTGGCCCTTAAAATTGCCAGTTTCTTTATACTGTTGGGTTATCAACCTATCTGATGATTATGGGACCATGAAATTTGACATAAGAGTATGTTTCACTAAATAATGCTTTCCTTCAGTTTTCTTTCTTTGTTCATTTGATTATTGATGGCGACGGGTCAAAATATTCAATATCAATGAGAAATTTCGAAGTCTAAGACTTAGGATCTCTTAGTTCTAAGATACATACCTAATCCAGGTTAAGCTTATTGTGTTCTAAACAATATTTTGTTTCTTTGACCTCTTTAGGAGGATAAGTGACAATAACTTTTCTGGAAAGTTACCTGATTTCATCAACAATTGGACATACCTTGAAAAGCTGTGAGTTTCTAAAGCACCTTTACTACTGCATAAGCATTTGCTTGCTATGAGTTAATAAAGAGTTCAAGTTACAGGCATATTCAAGGTTGCTTTTTAGAGGGGCCCATACCTTCTACAATTTCTACTTTGACAAGCTTAACTGATCTGTAAGCAACCATATTTCTATTTTGATTCTCGATTATTTACATAAGTCTTAAGGGACTATCTCCTCCTCAATGATATTAGGAGGATCAGTGACTTAAAAGGCGAACAGTCTTCTTTTCCCCCATTGCATAACCTGAAATCACTGAAGACATTGTGAGTGGAGTTCAGTCAGTTTATTTCATTTTTGTAATTGCTCTTAACTCTCTATCTGGTTCTTAACTAAAGATTTCTTTAAAAAAAAAAAACTACTTACAGGATACTAAGGAACTGCTTGATATATGGAGAGATCCCGGACTATATTGGAGAAATGAAGTCTTTGAAAATCCTGTAAGTATCATTAAATATAGGCTCTGGGGAGTCCCATGCCTCAGATTTTCAATAAATTGTAATACTAGCTGAAATAATTTACACCTTCATGCAACTTCCCATCTTATGAAAATATTTTAGCAATTTTCATTCCTTTTTTATTTAAAATTTTTACATTCCTTTCCATATGATATAGGGACCTCAGTTATAATTATTTTACCAGTAAAATTCCAGCATCATTCATCACATTGATCAAAGCAGATTTCATGTAAGTGGACATTGCAATTTTTCTTAATCCTGATAAACCTAATCTTCATGGAAGCTAATATAAGATATTCTATTTGTCATTATGAATTTTAGGTATTTCACAGGAAACAAGCTCACTGGTTCCATACCAGGTTGGATGTTAGAAAGAAACAAAAATGTGTATGTATACTTTCTGAACTTTCCTTATTTAGGTAGTTGTTAATTTTAGTTCATTCTTCAATTTTATTTAGTTTCCATTTTGCACAACTGTTAATGACGATGGAACTATAAATGCTTTCAGAGAACTAAATGATCTCCAAGCCAAGTGCTCTCAGAGAACTTGAATGTCCAATTATTCATAGGGTGCATGGTTAGAAGATAATGCATTTTTTGGTCTTGTCATCTGACTCCAAAACAAAGAAAAATCCGCAAAAAGAATCACAAAACATAATCATAATGTTTTTCTGCCATATAGCTGTCCATGAGAGTATGAACATTTTTTTTCTTTGATTTGTTCTCCAGGGATCTTTCTCTTAACAATTTCACTTGGGAAAACTCAAGTCCAGTTGAATGTCCTCGAGGGAGTGTGTGAGTTGTTTAAAAAGATATATTTCGCTTCCTCCCAATACATCTATTTGATTGAATTGTTTAAAATATTCACCATTTTTTCAGGAATTTGGTTGAGAGCTACTCCCCATCAACAAATAAATTGTAAGAATCTCATGCTTTTATGTATAGATTTGTACTAGACATTTGGGTAATGTTGGTTAGCAGTAATAGCTATTCATTGGTCAAACTATTAAAATAAGGTAGAATTGAGAAGTTAGAACAAGAATGCGTATTGATAATAATATAGTTACAAAGACACTTAAGATCGTAAACTTACAATAATGACATATCATTAAATGAGTAAATATTTATAATATTATCAGTGGAATTAAGAATACCTATTCTTTAGTGGTGGAGACATTTTCCTTAATCATCTCTTTATTTAGTAGAAATTTTAACTGTTAAAGGCATTCCTAACTTCTCAAGAAAGTTTCACAATTTTACCTTATATTTAAGGGGGTTTTGGTTGCCATGCCACTTTCCCCTTAAATTTTTTAAACTTTCCCCCTGAAAAGGTTATTTACATATTTTCACACATTAATATTACAACAAAAGGAGCATAAAAGTGGCATTTTAACCTTTTACTTTCCCTAACTTCCCAACCTCATCACTGCCAATCAAATGAGCCCTTGGATTGTTGGTGATTTTCTCCAACACGTAATTTGTTTGACACTTATTTAATTGTTTATTTATCTTCCTACTTGTGCTGCAGAAATAAAGTTCATTCATGCCTAAAACATAACTTCCCATGCCCTGCTTGGGATGGTCGATGTAAGTCGCCTCTAAAGTTCTTTATGCTAAATACTTAATTACAATGGTTAAGCGCAAATTTGAGGGTCTGAGTTAGGGAATAAAATAGTCAAAAGGAGAAATTTTTAGTAGGAAAGATAGTCAATGTTACAACATGCAGAATTTAATGCACAATGAAGATTGAACAATGTATTTGTCTATTGTTTATTAGTTGATTGATCTATAGAATGTTTTGGGTTGCAGTTATGTTTTACTAGTCTTCTATGTTTTGGTTGTTAACAGATCAATACTCCTTAAACATTAACTGTGGTGGGAAGGAAGTAAAGGTTGGGGACACCACATATGAAGCTGATGTGGAACGTAGAGGTGCTTCTACGTTTTACTCGGTTCAGAACTGGGCATTAAGCAGCACTGGGAACTTCATGGACAACGACCTCGATTCAGATAATTATATTGTGACCAATACTTCAGTTCTGTCCAATGTCTCTGCTTTCAATTCAGAACTATACTCAACAGCACGTATTTCTCCACTTTCTCTCACCTATTATGGAATTTGCCTTATGAATGGGAACTACACGGTTAATCTGCACTTTGCAGAGATTATTTACAGAAGTGATAGATCATTTTACAGTCTTGGGAGACGTATATTTGATATCTATATTCAGGTTAATAAACTTTTTACCATGCATAGTGTAAAAAATATCTTTCTATTGAAATTCATAAATAAATAGTTAACATTATTGCTTTATGTCTGAATTACTTTATGTCTGAATGTAGGATCAATTGGTCCATAAAGATTTTAATATTGAAGATAAGGCTGGTGGTTCTGGGAAGCCCATTGTTTTGAACTATACGGCTGTTGTGACAAGTCATACCTTAAAAATACACTTCTACTGGGCTGGAAGGGGGACGACCGGCATACCAAATAGAGGAACCTATGGTCCTCTCATATCAGCCATATCAGTAGTTCCTAGTAAGTTACTGTAATTTTTATGTGCTTTTCTCTTACTTGCCTTCCATTATTGTTAGGCAGATGTGGAGTTTTTCAATGATGGATTCATTTTTAGCAATGCCGTTCTATCAACCCAGCTGAATTTTCCATAAAATGCTGCTGGTTTTATATATCCCTGTGGCTGTCAATATTGTTGTTTAAACTTGTAGCAACAAAGTTAAGAATACTGAATGGTTCCAACAGTCATTGCATCAACAGCATTCATCATATTTAGCTTTAATAACACCTAGGATGCTTATTATGGCTGTCTGTTGCCAATTTAGTTCCTCATGTTTTAAGGGTAAACAGCAGCGTTAGTCCCCAAGTTTGAAGTGATTTCAATTGATACTCCCCCACTATTAAATTGAATTTTTGGAAGGAGATTCTAGCTTGTAACCATTGGGACATTCCCTAGGGTCCCATAGTTAAATTGATTATGACATTAAGAAATAGAGTTTTCTATCATGGTTTCGTACTTGGATCTGACATGGAAAAGAGGAGTTTTGACATATTTTAAGTAAATATTAATTATATATAGTTTTAATCAATGATCAGTTAATTCGAATAGAAAGAATTCGAATTAATGTTTCAAGTTTAAGTTTAATAATGTTTCAAGATTTTTGTTAAATAATGTTTCAAGTTTAAGTTTTGTAAATCAAGAAACCAAATTAGTTGAGGTCAAATGTACTTTCCTGAGGTTAATAACAAAAACAAAATTATATATGCTTTTAAATACAGATGAAAACTCTGCCTACAAGACCCTATCATGCTGGAGTTTTTCGATTTTTTTAACTTTTTATTTATTTAATCGTTGATAAGGAATTTTATTTATATAATTGAAATTAACTAATTATAAATTCAGGTGAAATTTCTATTTCTTTTTTGCCTCGTCAAATGTACGAGACATCTGATGTGGCAAAAAGGCCTTCATTTCCGAATGTCATTTTCAAAGGGGGTACTACCAATTAAATGTAATTGTTGAGCTGGTGGAATCACTTGTTGGGTTAGAAGTTAAGGGAGTTACCTAAAACTAGACACGAATTTGTGGGATTGCTTTGCTGTTTACTGTGTTTTCATTAACCAAGCTGAGCATCATTTTATGCCACTCAAGACTCAACATTGAACAATTGAAGTTCCAGAGAATCCTTAGTTTGTGGACTATATATAAATTTTGCATGAGCTCTGGTTTTTCTGAAACTTGATGTTTCTTTTTACCATTTAGGCAAAATAGAAAGCTGTTTAGATTGTATTTAATTTATATTGGCTTTAGTAATAATGCTTATCCTTCACAGACTTCAAGCCTCCAGTTGTTGGCAAAAAGAATTATTATGTAATAGTGGTCGGGGGAATATCTGGAGCAATATTTCTTGTCCTTCTGGTCTTAGGTATCATGAAGAGAAAAGGTTGGCTTGGAGGTGACTCTGCAGATAAAGGTATTAAGTGTTATGTCAAACTTTCTACACAATGTTGCCATTGCTCAAGGTATTTGATTGCTGTGATGTTGACAAGGAAAAAATATGTCTAAAGCTTTTGAAGTGTTGAAGTCTTAGATAAACATACATGATCCTGCATTGGCTCCTAAGTATATAAAAAGTGACTCAAGCAGAAAAGACCTAAACTTCATATTAACATCATGTACTTATTTTTTCAAGAAGAAGACAAACTCTGTTTTTAGCATTTAAGTTTGTAATTGTGGATCATGCACCTTGGAATTATGATTAATCTTCACCTAAATAAAAAGGAATAAGTAGTACTTCAGCTTTTAATTTCTACAATACCTTTTTCCAAAGGGTCCGTACTTTTTGTAGACTAGCAATTGTGTAGAATTCATCAGCCTTAACTGAAGCTCTGTGACTTCTGATTTTTGTTTCTTCATTCCTTCTTGCTAGTTGAAGCTCTAGGGAATCCTGATGAAGAACTTTTTCATGCAAATTTAATTTAAAAATGATCTTTCTGATACTAATACTACCTAAGCAGAGTTGAGAGATCTGGACCTTCAAACTGGAATATTCACGCTAAGACAGATTAAATCTGCAACCAAGAATTTCGATGCTGCAAACAAAATTGGGGAGGGTGGTTTTGGTTCAGTTTACAAGGTAACTGCTTGTTTATCAATGGTATTATTCTGATGATCAGTCTGAACTGTTGAATCAGTTATGAACAAGAAGACGTTGACTTCTTTTTGTGCAATATGCTATAGTAATTCTGTTGTTGAAGTTCTCAAGGTATTTGAACTTGTCACTATATTCTCCAGTTTCAAGGGGCAAATAATCAAGGTCGTTTATAGGCACTGAAAATGATCCTACTGAAGACATATTCTAGCATTGCAATTACTAAACACAATTATTCTCTTCTTGTTATTGTTCATCCTAGATATAATAATTTTTTATGCTCAATGCAGGGTCTATTATCAGATGGAACGGTAATTGCTGTCAAGAAGCTTTCTTCAAAATCTAAGCAAGGAAATCGTGAATTTGTGAATGAAATAGGCATGATATCTGCACTGCAGCATCCAAATCTTGTTAAGCTCTACGGATGCTGTGTTGAAGGAAATGAATTGTTGCTAATTTATGAGTACATGGAAAATAATTGTGTCTCCCGTGCCCTTTTTGGTAAGCTTAAAACTTGTGACCATCTAAGACATGAAAACTTTAACAAATCCCAAACTTAAAGATCATCAACTATCATTTAACTAGCTTCTACCCTACTTAATGACAGGGAAGGATGCAACATGTAGACTGAAACTAGACTGGCCTACCAGGAAGAAAATTTGCCTTGGTATTGCTAGGGGTTTGAACTACCTCCACGAAGAGTCAAGAATAAAAATCGTGCATAGAGATATCAAAACAAGTAATGTGTTGCTTGATAAGGACCTCAATGCAAAAATTTCTGATTTTGGTTTAGCTAAGTTAAATGAGGATGGCAAAACCCATATCAGCACTCGGATTGCTGGCACCATGTAAGACTTCCATTGCCACTTGTTGATGACTTTTTATTTCTTTCCTTCTTTTTGTTGGTGTATTCGTTATTATATTGTTATGGACATTGAAAGGGAAAAAGGTTCTTCCAGTTAGTGTTGCAAAACCCTGGACTTGCTACTAAATCATCCTTCTTGATTGATTGAGCTAGAAGGTTGTGTCAAACTTGTTAGTCATTAGGATTTTAATGCAATCGTTACCACAGATTGCAAAATTACTCAAACAACTGTTGAAGCATCTCTGATTTTTGGCATATGACAAGTTACTTTTCATTTAACAATTTCATTAAGAGAAGATATACATTCTGTATTAAGTTGTTTTCAATTTGATTATGCAGCGGTTATATGGCTCCTGAGTATGCAATGCGTGGTTACTTAACCAATAAAGCAGATGTTTATAGCTTTGGTGTTGTTGCATTGGAAATAGTTAGTGGAAAGAGCAACACAAATTACAGGCCAACTGAGGAATTTGTTTACCTTCTTGACTGGGTATGTCGAATCTCTTTAATGAACTTGTATTGTGTGTACTGCAGAGTCCTGTTAGTTCCTTCTCTGTTATCCATCTGAAAGAACAAACTATGGTCTACCACATTTTTATTTTAAATCCAGCTTTCTGTCTTCAAGGAAACTTTCTCCATTAATTTTTTTTTTTTCATTTTTTCCATTTTTCAGGCCTATGTTTTGCAAGAGAGAGGAAGTCTGTTGGAGTTGGCAGACCCGAACTTGGGGTCTGAATACTCATCAGAAGAAGCAATGATGATGCTGAATGTGGCTCTGCTGTGCACAAATGCCTCCCCCACCCTTAGGCCGACAATGTCCCAAGTTGTAAGCATGCTTGAAGGCAGAACAGCTGTTCAGGACCTCCTCTTGGATCCTGGGTTTTCAGCCATTAATGCCAAGTTTAAGGCAATAAGAAACCACTTTTGGCAAAACCCAACACAAACTTTAAGCTTGTCAAGCAACGGTTCGTATAAGGATGATTCTTCAAATTCAAACATAAAACAAGAAGAGAGCATCCAGCTACTGAGAGTTTGTTCAGTTCAATCTGATGACTGAGCGGAAGTGTAGAAGGAAAAGTCCTTTTTCTCTAAATCTCTACATGGTTTGAGCATTCTATCTGTGCCTGAGTGTATACATAGACATATATAAACTAATCATGTGAAGTTCAAGAGGGAAAAGAAAAAATACTAGCTCACAAGTTCAACAGAAGTAAGCAGAAGGTGCAAATGAGGACATGAACTTTGGGGTAGGTTGTAATCAAATCACCATTTTATGATTCAGTGTGAATAAGGACACAAACTACTTGATTGGGTCAAAAAAAGACACATTGGATGGGCGAATGAATCCTTGGCCTACTATAATAGAGACCCCAACACTTTTAGGTTTTAAGTTAAGTCTTGCCATATGCAAGTTATTGTTAAATTTTATGTTAGTTAATTTGTGAACTATGTAATTTTGTTTGGATTGTATTATGATTTGTCAAATATTAATTGATAGTTATCATTTGTAGTCAATAGAGTGGAATGTATTGTAATTGATACTCATAAAAAAATGTTGGGAATTTTATTTTAAATAATCAATTTTAAGGAAAATAATTTAATATTCTTCCTTTCTTATGATGGCAACATTAAATGTAAAGGTGCGCATTTAAAACCTTTCGAGAAATAATAGTTTGCTCCCATCAATTAAGAAATAAACTTAAGAAATTGAAGAGTAAATAATGCAAAAGTTAAGAAATCTCCTCAAATGTTGCTCATTTCACGCTTCTGTTCCATTTTTTGTCATGATTAAGGCCCCGTTTGGTATAGTGGTTTTAGGATAACGGTTAGCGGTTTTACCTAAACCATTAAATATAGGTGTTTGGTAAATTTATATATTTCAAAACCACTATAAATAAAGTATTTGATAAAATTTTTGTTTAGCGGTTAGAGACTAACGGATGACGGTTAGAGTCCAAACCGCTAGCGGATTAAAAAAACTAGTTTATGTAACTTTTTATACCAAACCGCTAACGGATTAAAATTTTTTAATTTTATTTACAAATTTATCCATTTTAATTTTTTAATTTGTGGTCACATTTTTTAATTAATAATTATCTAATAAATTTCAATTTTGTTTTTTTACCTTTAGTAACATTAAGTGATTATAATATTTTTTT